TCTAATCAATCTAACACTGATACTACTGATACTGAAATAGAACAATTAGCCAAACAATTTCAATCTTCTAATCTTAATAAAATTCATTATCCCAAAGTTAATCCTCAAACTACCAAAAACTGGTATTCTCGACCTACTCCACTTGATCTCCAGTTTGAAGAAACTAATCTTAATAATCAATTTTCTGTCTCTGCTAAAAAATTATACGAATGGAATATTGATGGTCTCAGTGAAGACCAAATCCTTCAAAAATTAAATCATTTATCTATGGTAGCAAATAGTTATCTCAGTAATTACCCCCAATATTCTCAATCTGAAATTGTTTCCTTACTTACCTCTGGTTTCACGGGTATGCTCAAATCTTGGTGGGAAAAATACCTTACTGAAGAACAACGTGACACAATCATTTATGCTAATCAAACTGATGAAAATGGTCTACCTATTTTTGATGAATCTATAGGATGTTGTCACCCTGATGGAATCAATCAATTAATCTATACAATAGTCCGGCATTTTATTGGTACTCCTACAAATATATATTCCCGTATCCATGATCAACTCAGTAATCTTATCTGTCCAACCCTAAGTGATTTTAGATGGTATAAAGATGTATTTACCTCTCGTGTTATGCTAAGAGAAGATTGTACCAAATCCTTCTGGAAAGAAAAATTTATTAATGGATTACCTAGCCTATTTGCTCACAAAATTAGAGATGTTCTTAGTCAACCTACTGGTGTTATTGAATATGATAATTTAACATATGGTGATATAATTAGCACTATTCAAAAAGAAGGGTTAAAAATGTGTATTGATCTTAAACTTACTCAAAAAGCTAACAAAGATAAACATAAAGCTAAATACGAATTAGGCAATTTCTGTGAACAATATGGTTTACCTCCTGTTGCACCCTCTCGTCGAAAATCACATAAATACTCCAAACATAAACATAAATCATCATATAAATATTCTAATAAATATAAAAAGACTTATTCACCTTCCAAATCCAATGATAAATTCTATACTAAACCTAAAAAGAAATATTATAAATCCAAATCACATCCGAAATCTAAATCTACCAAAGATATTACTTGCTATAACTGTGGTCAAAAAGGTCATTATTCAAATAAATGTAAAGAAAAACAAAAATTAAAAGATCGAGTTAACCAACTTCAAATTGATGACAATTCCAAGAATCAATTATATGAAATCTTTCAATTAAATCAATCTATTAGTAGTTCCTCTTCTTCTGAACATCCTGATACTTTATCCGATTACCAATCACCCAGTGATGATTCTGATAACAATATTAACATAGGATGTAATGATGTTTGTTGTAAACCAGTTAAACAAATTACTGTCCTTACTAAAAATACTCAAGAAGAATCTGCCCTTATTGACCTTATTAGTAAATTAGACGATCCAAAGTTAAAACAAAAATATACTGATAAATTAAAATCCTTATTAATTCATTCGGATACCAAACCGAAATTTGATAAACCTATAATCAGTCTGACCAAGACTTTAGAACGCTTTAAAAATAAAAAAAAAAGAAATTACATTACAAGATTTACAGCACGAAATCAATCAGATTAAACAAACAATCAAAGAATTACAACAAAAAGATATCAAATTAGAAGATGAAATTATTACTTTAAAACTCAATAAAAGTCTAGATAATTTCCAAAATAATCATGAATCTCCAAGTGAATCTGAACATGATTCTGATCCTATTAATCCTGATAATTTGTTATTCGACAACCGATCACACCACTCTCAATCTAACAATCCTGAAGAAAAAAGGTTAAGTTTAATTAATAAGCTTTACATTCAAAAACGGTATTCAAAAATTAAAATAATTATAAATGATTTTGAATTAGACTTAATTGCTTTAATTGATACTGGTGTTGATTTAAATTGTATACAAGAAGGATTACTCCCTACTAAATATTATGAAAAATGTCAAGAGAAATTAACCTCTGCTAATGGCACTCGAATGCATATCAAATATAAATTACCCAAAGTTCATGTTTGCCAAGATAATGTATGTTTTAAAACCTCTTTTGTTCTAGTTACCAATATGACTGATAAAATTATTTTAGGTTCCCCATTTATATATTTATTATATCCATTTGCTACATCTAGTACAGGTATCACTACACATGTGTTAGGCCAACCTGTTACATTTCAATTCTTATCTCCTCCTGAACTATTACACCTAAATCAATTAAAAGACTGTTCTATTTCCCATCAAATTAATCGTCTAACTCGGCATTTAAATTTTCTTAAAGAAGAAATTAATCATAAACGTATTGACTAACAATTAAAGAATCCAGTTCTTATTTCTCAAATCACTGATTTCCAATTAAAACTTGAATCAACTGTTTGTTCTACTTTACCTACTGCATTTTGGCATCGGAAAAAACATGTAGTCACTTTACCTTATATTAAAAATATTGATGAACGACATATTCCTACTAAATCTAGACCCATTCAAATGAATCATGAACTCCTTGAACTATGTAAAAAAGAAATTAATGACTTATTACACAACCGAATCATTCGCCCAAGTAAATCACCATGGTCTTGCTCTGCTTTTTATGTTAATAAAAATGCTGAATTAGAATGCGGTGTCCCTCGTTTGGTTATCAATTATAAACCTTTAAATGATGTTCTAGAATGGATTAGGTATCCTATTCCTAATAAAAAAGATTTAATTAAATGACTTAGTCAAGCTGTTATTTTCAGTAAATTCGATTTAAAAAGTGGTTTTTGGCAAATTCAAATTCATCCGAAAGATAGATATAAAACTGCATTTAATACACCCTTTGGCCAATATGAATGGAATGTCATGCCATTTGGTTTAAAAAATGCTCATAGTGAATTTCAACATATAATGAATGACATCTTCAACCCATTTAGTCATTTTTCAATTGTTTACATTGACGACATATTAATTTTTTCAAAATCAATTAGTGAACACTGGAAACATTTAACAGCCTTCTTTCATACTATCAAGAGTCATGGTCTTGTCATTTCTGCTCCTAAAATTAAATTATTTCAAACCAAAATACGATTTTTAGGTTATGATATTCATCATAATACTATTTTACCCATTAGTCGATCCATTGAATTTGCATCCAAATTTCCTGATGAAATTCTTGATAAAACCCAATTACAACGGTTCTTAGGATCTCTCAACTACATTGCTGAATTCTACAAAGATCTTAGGAAAACTTGTCAACCTCTATTTGATAGGTTAAAGGATAATCCTCCTCCTTGGTCTTCTGTTCATACATCTATCGTTAAACAAGTCAAACAATATGTCAAGTCGCTTCCTTGTCTTAGTATTCCTACTGAAAATTCGTTCAAAATTATTCAAACTGATGCTTCCGATATTGGTTATGGTGGCATTCTTCTTCAGAAAATTACTCCTCAGTCCTCTGAACAAATTGTTCGCTATCATTCTGGTGTCTGGAATAAAGCACAATTAAATTACAGTACTATTAAAAAAGAAATTTTATCCGCTGTTTTATGTATTCAAAAATTTCAGGATGATATTTTAAATCAAAATTTTTTACTTCGTGTTGATTGCAAATCTGCTAAATATGTTATTGAAAAAGATGTTCAAAATCTTGCTAGTAAACAAATTTTTGCCCGATGGCAAGCTATTTTAAGTATTTTTGATTTTGATATTACTTATATCCCTGGTTGTCAAAATTCCCTTCCTGATTTTCTTACCCGGAAATTTTTACAGGGGGGTAAGGGATGACTGCACCATTTACTTCTTACCACAAATCCCGCATTACCTATTTCAAAACCCAGATTAAACAGCTTACCCATCGTATTCACCTCCTCAAATTAGCCCGACCAACTACCAAACGAGCCCAATATATCAATTACCATCAACTTCAAGCTCGTCGCAATTTACTTGCTCACAACTACAACTGTTTACACCGCCATCAAGATTATTTAGATCTTCTTTCTGGCTGCTAATCCTTAATTCTTGTTTTCACAGATGTCTCGCCCAAGGCCTCCTTCCAAGGCTTTGGTCCCATCTTCAAGTAAACCAAATCAACTTATTGTCCCTTCTCCTTTGGAGTTAGATACCCCATCTTATTCACTTGATATGGTTAACCGTTACCAAGCTCTTGGTAACCTTTATCGCCCTGATTACTCTTTAGCATTGGCTTCTGATCCTTTTGCTCCTAGTCAATCAGTTTCAGTCACTCCATTCCCAGCCAACCCATTCCGGTCATCCAAAACTGAATACACCAAATCACATATTACTAACTTATTCTATAAAGAACCTAGTCACCCAAAGAGCCAACTCCTTAATGACATTGCTAAATCCTATTTTGGTCCTGGATACCATTTCACCCTTTCACATCCAGAAAAAACACTTTCCTACTACAAGGATATTCTGCTCCATTACCAATCAATTTTGATTAAGCCAATCCAAGACCGCACCTATGCTTACAAAATTCTGTACCATTCCCTTTACATTCACAACATTGTTTCCTTAGCTGAATGGGGTCCTCCCTACCAGCTTCGTGATTTACCTGGCCATTTTATCCAGTACAATTACCATGATTACATTGATGCTTGGTTCAAGATTTTCTTGTACCAAAATGAGACTTTTAGTCACTCTTGGTTCATTTCCTTTGATCAGAAATTCAAGTCTGAATTATACCTTCTTGGTTTCTGAGATGGTGGACTCACTATGGTGCCATTTCAGCGATCCTCCCTGATAATCTGCTTGAACTAATCAACTATTTTGCTACTGTTTACCCATTTACTACTCATCAGAAATCATTCCCATTATTGTTAATTTTTATAGCAAGTATAAAATCCCTTGGATATTCAAATGGCATTATGGGATTGATGGTAACATAATCATCCGACATCATTCAGTCAAATGGTGGGCTAAATTCAATTTGCCCCGCATATTTGAAATTGTTCACGAAGAATTTCCATCTGATCAATGTGCTCCAACCCCTGCAATGGTTAAAGCCCAGCAGATCCCAACTGCTGCAATCAGTCAAGGAAGTCAGCCCAGCCTTCCTCCAATCAATCTTGGAAGCCCCTTATCTAGTGGTTCCAAGCCCAAATCCAAAACAGCCCAGTCAGCACAATCAAAATCCAAGGCTAAGTCCAAAGCTCCTGCAGCTCCGACTCAGCCCAAAGACCATTCACGGCCCAAATCAAAATCCAAAGCAAAGGCTAAGCCCATTTCTCCTCCTGTTCAGCCCAAAGCTCAATCAAAGGTCAAGCCCAAACTATCCAGAGAAGAACTGCTCCAGTTAGCCCGACAAATTACAGATCAAGCTGAAGCCCAATCTGCTTCCAGTTCAACCCATTCAGAAGAAGGTTCAGACAGTGCACACTCTTCTGAAGAATCAACTAATCAATACTCAGGACCCGAGTTTCAAGATGCTCAGGATCCGTTTGCCTAATCAACATAGGATTCCCTATAAATACAAATTAGCTTCAATCAATACTCTTTTGAGAAAAGCTGCTAATTTATATTTATATTGATTCCTTTATTCACATGTTCCACCGAAAGTGATGAATAGTAAAAGTTACTGTTCATTTTTACTGTTCACCGTCACTATTCACCCACTCAACTTTTGCTAAAGGCTGCTCAGCTGTGCAATCACTCCACCGAAATCATCCGACAGTATCTCCTTTACGTCATGATCTGCTAGTTGCTTTCAGAAGTCACATGCTCACTGTTCTTCTTTTTATTTCTATATATTAAAAACAAATGTAAGCATTCAGGCATTCATCAATTTTTCTTCCCCTTCATTGTTGTAAGAAAACCAGAGTGTGCTGAGTGCTCTTCGAATTCTCCCTTTGCACCTAGTTAAGATCCTTGCAGTTGCTACAATTGTAATTGTAAGTTATTTTGACTAAGTTATTTTGAATATTATGTTTTAATTAAATATTTGTCTTAATTAAATGATCATAGTCTTAATTAAATGATCATATTTTAATATGTTCATATTTTAATATGTGCATTCCAGTTCTGTATCTAATTCTGTTTTGATTTCGTAATTCATCATCTTCATTCTTTATGTTCCGCCTTCCGCCTATATATATATATATATTGTATTATATAAATCCCATCTGCTTATCACGTACGAAAAAGTGTATTGGTGAGAAATATGGATGGTTTTCTTCTCTTGCCCTCATTTTGTAGCCATATTTTTGTCACATGATTGAATTTTGTTAAAGATTTAAAAATGAAATAACAAAAGAGTGATATTGACACTTACATAGAGACCAAGTAGGATTTGAGTAAAAGTACAGGGGGTTGACTATCACGATTTCATGTGTAAAGATCAAAGTGAGATTTGACTAGAAGTACATGGATTGACTGTCACGATTTCATGTGAAGGGGCCAAAGTGAGATTTGGTGTAAAGCACAGGGGTGCAAAGTGTAATTTACCCAAAATTTTAACTTGGCATTATTTGTTCTTTAATGAACTCATAGTAGACGATTACTAGTATAACCCTTTATTTATTTTATTTGATATAATTTTAAATTAAATTAATGAATTTATTTTATTTTAAATTATAATTATGACATTAAATATTTTAATCACAATAAAATTGAAGAGGAGAGAGAATAAAGAGGTTGGTTGGAGGTGTAGCTGAAGAGAAGAAGAAAATGGGGTCAATGATGGAACATAGAAAATATTAAGAAGAAAGTGAGATTGTTTGGTTATAGCGACATTAAATAAAATGAATGCTTGTTTAGTTATGGAGCTAAAGTAAAATAGAAATAGAAAAAGGTATTTGAATATATTGGAAATAATATTATTTAAAAGGATAAAATGGAAAAAACCATACTATTTATTAACATTTGTCCATTGATAATTTTGATATGGGAGGTTCGTGTAGTTTCAAGAATTAGAGGGGCAGTTCATGCATTTGTCAAATATCTCAGGAAGGTTGGTGTAATTAGTCCAAAAAATTATATAAAAGATGAGAACTTTTTCCTAATTATATTGGAATCAAACGTTGAAAAGAAACTAAAACCCCAACCACTAGTTGTCTCTACTGGCCATCACTACCACTACCCTTTCCTGCTACCCTACTCTGTTTCTAACCACCGTCACTACCATCGTCACCTTCTTTTACCACCAATAGCTCCTCACTTGCCATCTACAATACCCTTATGCTATGTTTGATTGCAAGATTTAGGAAGGGATTTGGAAAGGGAAGAGGAAAAAGTAAGTGACATATAAATAAAATATATCTACATTTCACTTAGTTTTACACACCTGTTCATTTTCTTTTTCCAAATCCCTTCCCAAATCTCTCTAACCAAACACAATGTTAAACTCCCATTAACCAAATTGACCACTGTAAGGCTCCACCATTTCTTCTAACATCGAGATCTCCTTCACCAAGAGAATATTAACCATCACTCCTCCACTTCCCTTCATGATTGTCTAGATTTAGTTTCTCTCTCTCTCTCTCTCTTAGGGTTTTGTTTTTCTCACATGGTGGTTGATGGGAAGGAGTTAAGGTGAGGTTGAGGGAGGGTAGCAATAGCTGAAATGAGTCGAGGAGGATTGAGAAAGTTGGAGTTAAGGCTTGGTTTCACAAGAGATGGTGAAGATGGAGTTAAGGAAGGTAGGGTTGGAATTGATAACCGATTGAGGGAGGGGTGCGCATCTACTATGTAGGTAAGGGAGACAAAAAAAGAAAAAAAAGAAAAAAGAAAAAAAAAGAAAAAGAAAAAGGGAGATGAGAGAGAGACAATGAAAGAGTTGAGGCATTTTGGTCATTGCCCTAGTGGGTTTCACTTCTTTGCATATATATTTTTTTTGGATTCCCCACTTATTTGTAAGAAAAATACTAGAGATCCCAACAAAATTATTAAATCTTTTAGCAAATGCATTGCTTAATTTGTAAATAGGGAATGTTTCTTTTCAATCTGATATCAAACTGGAGTGTACTGTCGACCTATTATGGGCCTTGATGAAATGAGTCGAGGAGGATTGAGAAAAGTGGAGTTAAGGCTTGGTTTCACAAGAGATGGTGCAGATGGAGTTAAGGAAGGTAGGGTTGGAATTGATAGTCGATTGAGGGAGGGGTGCACATCTACTATGTAGGTAAGGGAGACAAAAAAAGGAAAAAAAGAAAAAAGAAAAAAAAAAAGGGAGATGAGAGAGAGACAATGAAAGAGTTGAGGCATTTTGGTCATTGCCCTAGTGGGTTTCACTTCTTTGCATATATATTTTTTTTGGATTCCCCACTTATTTGTAAGAAAAATACTAGAGATCCCAACAAAATTATTAATTTTTTTAGCAAAAGCATTGCTTAATTTGTAAATAGGGAACGTTTCTTTCCAATCTGATATCAAACTGGAGTGTGCTGTCGACCTATTGTGGGCCTTGATTCAAGCTCATCTTGATGATCCAAACTATTTAATGTGTAGGGCTTGTCGAGTATATCATCAGTGCAAAAAAAAAAAAAAAATTGATTGGATATCGTTAGTCACTCGATCATATTATATTTGTATTAACAAAAGCATGATTTTAAAAATAAATCATTAACACGAATGTAATTTGATCAAGTGGCTATTGGTATTCGATCAATGTGATTTTTTGCAGAGATGATGCACTTGACAGTACATACACATTAAATGATTTGAATTATCAAAATGGACTCATATCAGGGTCGACCATGGGCCAACAATACATTCCAGTCTGATATCGACAGAGAGAAGGACTTAAAATTTAGTATACAAAAATTGAAACCTAAATTTGGTCACGAAACATTAGTGCAAGAAATTAAAATTCAGTTCCCAAATTACTTCACAACAAAATTTCTTGCCTTGTTAATTTTTAGATTAATGGAGGGGATGCAAGCATCTTCTTTGGGTTGGTCTCAATATCACAAACAGGGCTCGATTATTAAAATTTGGTAAAGAAAAAAGGTTTGTTACAAGTTTGTTCAATATTGTTTCTAATACAAATGATCCAATCTCAATCATATTTTTGGTATTTGTTAATTTTTCTAAAAAAAAGTTGGATAAGAGATCTGGTTAGTCAACAAATAGAAGAGAGTGCTCAGTTATCACTCAATTTGTTTGGTTGAATTTTCAAAATTTGTCTTTTATTATTTATTTAAAAAATAAAATTAATTAAACTATTAAATGTAAAGTTCATCATTTTCATATATTTTTCATTTTTGCTACCCAAATAATTTTATAAATTTGAAAATATTATTTTAATATTTATTTGAGCCAAACTAATTTATATTTAAAAAAAAAAACAACTAGGAGAGATTGCTTAGTTATCACTCGGTTTGTTTGGTTGAATTTTCAAAATTTGTTATTAATTATTTATTTAAAAAAATAAAATTAGTTAAAATATTAAGAAAAAATTACTCAAAAATCCCATTTGGGAAAATGTTGCTCCATTTAGTCTTGGAAGTTTTCTTCCAAACAAATTAGTTCTTTTATTTATGGTATGCTATTTTTGTTTAATTTGGAAGTTGGGGAGTTTACTTGTTTACCTTTGGGTGTGATTTTGTTTTTGATTTTTCCCTAATGTTTGGGTGAGTTTGTTATGGTATGGTGTTGTTTTTCAAATTTTTTGTTGGGGATTGTGTGGAGTGATTTGTGGTGTTAGTGATGTTACCCATCTGATGTGGGTTTCTAATGTGGAATCGTGGGGTTAGTGATGCTACCCATTTGCAGGTATGTTTCATTACTGTGTTGTTGACGTGCTAGGCGACATTTTTATAGGTCAGTTTCATACGTTTGTTTTGTTGTTGGGTCAATGTTTATAGGTGTGCTTTTGTTTTCTGTGGGTGTGTCGGGAAGTCTTGGATTTAAGGTGCCATTGTTATGTTGCCATTGTAGAGGTGTATTTTAATTTATTCTGCATTGGATGAATTGTTTTGGGGTGTCTTCTGATTTATTCTGCTCTGGATGGGTTGTTTCATTTTCGGCAATTATGGTGTTTTGATTCGTAATGTTATGTGTTGTTATTTTAATCTATCGCAGGTATGTAGTTTGTAGTGTTGCTATTGTGTACATATGGATAGACCAGTATGGTTGTTCGCCTCCATCAAGCCTTCACATTTGCACAATTGGTTGATAGTGTATGCGGGAAATTTGATAGCTTGGTGTCGAAGTCGGTGGGTTTCTTGTTCACCATTCCAAAATACAACAAGTTTACGGTTCACTGTGACGAAAATGTGCAAAACATGTTGTGCCTTGCGAAGTCGATTGGGCTTGATCATATTGATATGCTTATCCAAACGTGGAGTGAAATGTCAGGTATTTAGTGTGACGTTGCAGATTTGCCAAATGTTGGAGAGCCTAACATCGTTGATGGGTAGGTGGTCGATATAGAAGACCAGACTGATTTATTGCCGTTATATCATCTGCACAAATCGAAGATGTTTTTGTCGGCTGGGTGGGCATTTGGTATTACACATGTTGGTTAATCTTTTTGGGGTGGCACACATGTCGTCGAATATAGGTTTCAGTTTAGATACATAAAGAATGATTATGTACTAATCATGGCAGTATATTCTGAGTCTATTCACCCAATTCTGACGATAACCAAACCCAAGTTCACAACTGCAGATCACCTCATTGCTCCCCTTATTGTTAAGCGACCACCCGGAAGTGTCACGACCTAACCCCCGCCCCACGGGATAAGAGACGTAACCTGCCAATAATCCGAGATTACTAAAGACCTGTTTAATAGTAAATAGTATAAGGGGTTGCCGGAAGCCACTGATATCACAATACATCGTCCAATGAGCCGTGAAACTAAAATGAATAAACAACCCTTTATATGCACCACTATACAATTAGCCAATACTATGTCATACACATGTACCAAAAGTATATACAATACCTAGGGAATTAATCCCTTAATTAATATCCATAACACAAAAGATCTTTGCTATAAGTCACTTGATCACTTTACAAAAGGGTGAATTCATAATCACCCAAATGCCTTGGAGTTAGACCCAAAAGAAACCTCGAAAGGAGGCACAACAGTTAGCTTGACAAACTAGAAGGTAGGTTGACGCCCTTAATTCCTTTCTTGAGTTTGATCACCTACATGACAAATATAAACTGTGAGCCAAAGCCCAGTGAACAACAAATGTATAAAGAGGTTAGGAACAATGTCTATTTAAACATTAAGGTCAATTCATATAGCAATAGCATGTTCGTTAAAGAAAAACATAGTAATCATAAAGATCTACGTGCACATGTAGTGGTCTTTCAAATCATAATCAATACGAACAATCATATAACTCGATATCTTGTACACATTTGGCCATGGTGTTATTACCCCCAGGCAAGGGCCACGTAAATATAGGCCACAATATTGTTACCCCCAGGCAAGGGCCACGTGAACTTAGACCACGGTATTATTACCTCGAGTAAGGGCCACGTAAACGTAGACCACGGTATTATCACCCCCGGGTATGGGCCACGTGAACATATGGCATGAGGTGGGATACTCATTCATTTAGTAAATCATATCGTTGTAGAAACAGTCCTTAACAATAGCAATAACGGTTAGAAAGAAATATAATTCAAACATATTTTTACAACATTGTTACTCACAGTTCGTTCCATGGAGCACGTGGCTAGGATGCACAGACAAGCACACTGGTTTATATACGGTCTCATTGGATCAATTTCTCGTTACTTAGTTGTTAAATCTCTTAGTTTCGTTCCTTAATTTCCTTCATGTTTGTAAGATGCGAATGCACATGAAAACCACGTGAAAACTATGTAAACGGAGGCCCAATAGTCCAAAACATAGATCGAAAAATAGATTGAATCTGCCCTATTGGCCGCACATGTAGTGGTTTGGTAGCTCGTGCGGTGGCCTTGGCCATACGAGCGGTGGTGAAGCAGTGTGCGTTTTTCGGTAGAGGAGGCTCGACTGCTCAAGCGGTCTGGGTGAAAATCAATTTGAAAATTCTGCTGAAAATGGAACTCTCCTCCTTTCAAACTCAAACTCAATTTTATGAAAATCAAGGTCCAAAATGCATCAAAACAACTTGAATTCACCATACCTAACGTCATTATAAACCATAATCTAATTCATACTTAAGTTATCAAAGGAAAGATCAATTACACAAATGAAAAACATGTAAGTCATAGAACAAGGGGGTTAAGTTCCAATTCATGGAGTTTTCTCCATATTGCTCATAAATCATGCAAAAAACAAGTGGTAAAACATGAAGAATGCCATGGAGATTCACATCTTGAACTAGTTCCTATATTTTCCTCTTTAGGGTTCATACCAATAATTTACACCACTCTATTTCTTCATTCAACTTAGATTCTATAATTCCATGTTGAAGACAACCCAAATTCATGAGATTTAAGGAAACTTTCTTACCTTTCTTGATATTTTGGTGAAGATTGCTTAATTTCCCCTTATTTCTTCTTGCCCTAGAGTTTCTCCATTTTTTCTCTTCCTTTTTGTTCTAAACTTCTCCCAAGTCTCTCTAAAAATATCTAAGTCAAGTTTTCTCTTATTTTATTGCCTAGGACTAATACATTCTAATTAATCTTAAATTAGCTTAAGAAAGGATATGCTCTTGATTAGTGTAACACATCATCTCAATTTACACTAAATCTAACCATGCTACAGTGATTCAGGCTCTAATTGCCTATCACAAATATTTAATTTTAATCTTATGATTTACTGATTCAAACAGGTTTATTTCCCATTTTCATCTATCTGTTCTCACTAATTCAATACAATGAACACATGACACAAATAACACATGACACATAAGTTGGCATAATAAACACATAATTAAGGCAAATCACATAAGTTAGCAATTAATTAAGGAGGCGGATGTTACAGGAAGACCCCAATAAAAGAGGATCACATCCAAGGGTGAGGTTGTGTTACGCATTCGTTGCGGTCGTTGTAGCAAAATGAGTAATCATAACAGGAAAACATGTAAGGAACCGATGCAGCGCATCGACACATATGGTCGATGGACATATCCAATACGATTACATCTATCATATTCAGTCATTAAATAATTTACTATTTTATTCACGTTTATACTTTGCCACATGCGAAAACAGTTGTGGACAAGCTTATTGTCGTAGAAGTCTATGACATTTTACATTTTCATTATGTGTTTGCTGGGTGTGTGGAATACGCTTTATTATATAAAATGGTTAACATTGGATTTGCATATTTTTATTAAATATTTAAATTTTTATCAGACCATTAGGTAATTGGTATGATGAGATAGGGTGTGTCACAATATGGGTAAGGGGTTTTGGTGATATATGTTTGCATTACACTAATGAAAGTACCATATGAAAGGTGGTTTGATAAGATGGGTTGTGTTACAATATAGGTGCATAACAACATGAACTTGGAGAATGGGTAGGTGTATCGGGCATTGTGTCTTTGCTGTGATGTTGGTGTATGTTATCAAACATTTCGGTTAAAGGCTGTCACATCCATTTGTATTGGCCTATTTAGTACATCAATTTTACTGCACTTCATCTTAAGGTGAAGTAGGTTTCGAACATTATAACATATTGTTCGTTACCAAGCTTTGGAATGTTGTTACTTCTTTCTTTTCAAGTCCATTTACCTTTCTTCGTTATGTTTTCAACTTTTCACAACATCAAATTGTGAGAAGCTAGGCGTGCAGGGTGGGTTGACACCAATGAGTTAAGGTTCAATTTCAGCATGACGGTTTGTGATGTAAGCAAGCTACGCATGAAAATAAGGAGGATGGAGAGAAACGTACACTTCCTCCAATAAACTATTTTTATAGCTTGAATGCATACATACATCAACTACCACGTCAAACTACATTTGTCTCATCACATCATTGGATAACCACAAACAGAAGCACGATTGTACTTGTCAAATTCCCACTACATTAACATAATCCACTGATAATAAGATGTTGACAATGATTACAGAATCAACATTTTACATTACATAACTCGTACTGCACCAAATGCTTAATTGTCACATGAAAATGTGACATTTAATTAACAATACCAACTTGGTACACAACAACAAAACAAAACAAAACAACATCACAAATTGTTGTCGTCCCTAGAGACAGATATTCAAACATGGTCACATTTCGGAAATAATATTTTTATTAATTGCGATGTACTGTAATTGTTCAGCATTGCGTAACATTATATGCCAAAACCATAAACAACCAATTTGCCTAATTAAATAGGCACAAAAACCATCCTAACACAATGTCTTGCTTTATGTTCAGTCACGTCAAAAACTGATTAATCATTGGAGAAAAAGAAAAAAACATAAAGCCCAATTCAAACTTGTTGGGAGATGGGGATGTTGGGTGGCGGACAGAACATATCATGTTGTCCTAACTCATAGTCCTTTTTTCGGGTCGTTTAGAAGCATTCTCACCATCGTCGCACGTAGAATGGATAGGGTTAGTCCATCCATTGTGTTGTCAATTTCAATCCCGTTGAAGTATTGCTGGATGACGAAACATACGAATATCGCATAGTATGATCTGCATGTAAACACATATTTCCCCGAGCAGCCATTGAACATCATAAAGATCTACATCATCATAAAATTTCCCTTAAACTAACATGGACATCCCAAACATTCCACATCATTACTAACATATATACAATTGGTAAAAAATAGGGGAACTCTTTGCGTCATTGCAATAAAACATGACAACCAATATTGAAATGACTCCACCATTTCAATGACGCTAATATATGATAACAACAAGCACATATCACCAGAAACACCAACAGAATGTCATGCCTAATGTTACATTACTAGAAATACAAGCACAGACAAAGATGAGCCATTGCATGACTGTACCCCCGACGTAATTACAACCCACCTAACCAATAACATCAAATAATGTCTTCAAAAAAATAAAAAAATAAAAAATTTTAAAAAAAACCGTACATACCCATTACATACAGACACATACTCTAACATTAACAAAACACACTCAACCATCATAATGAGAATAGACCATAAAAACAGGGAAATGAAACATTGGAGGCCACATACCTGACACCATCATTCACCAACACAATCAAAGACGCTGATGATGGGTGGATGTG